GCTCATGTCAAATAGGTGCCATAGGTGTCGGAGGTTGGCAAAATCTGCCCTGGACTTCCCGATCCGAGATGTAATCTCGTCTCCAGCTCGTGCATCGGAACTCATACAGCTACCCAGATAATTAAATTCATATACCACATCGATTGGCTCGTCTGCAGGCATCAAGTTCGGATTTGATTCCGCGTATTCTGGAAGCAGCAGTTTAAACTTTGTAGGTGTAAAGCGCATGCCGAACCGTCCAGCAGAGTAACTTTGGTTATTTAAAATGGTTTGCATTTTTAGAGGCTTTGAACCAAGGAGAGAAATATCGTCCGCGTACTCACTGTCTTTGAGGGAATGTCCCGGGAACGTTTCGACTCTCGGGGTGTCAGAGGCAGATAGATAAATTTTAAGGAGCATCTGAACAACAGATTTGAAGATGAAAGGTGTGAAGGGGCATTCTTGTCTTACACTAGTGGATGTGAATTCATTCGAAAGCTTGCCGTTCACAGGGGTTCGCATACAGAGCCCTCATATTGGATATAAATTAAGAAGGGACACCTGTGGTCACCAGACACCGCTAAGTTTTCTGATGATTGGCAAAATAAACACTAGAATCCATATCGAGAAAAACGACTGACGTGGGACGTCTGAAGGAGTTGCTCTGTTCAAGAAACTAGCTGAAGGTTAGTATATGGTCGACGCGTTCTTGGCCCAGCAAAAACAGCTTGATTCTTGTGAATCTATCTTCCAGGATAATCGACCAACCTGGGCAAAATAAGGCCGGAGAGCACACAGACCAGACCGATGCCACGATAGTTTTCGCATGACGTTGTTACGCAATTGGTGAAAACTTGAATGACGGTCTAGTGCTTCATTCGACTGGTATTCTGTTTCCGTTTGAACTCTTTTGCTACATGTTTGTCAAACTGTTCACCAGGATCTGATCACCTTTTTTGAAGAGTTCGGAGTACAAACCATCCCGGCCAAGTGGCTCGTCCCGTTGGAGGATTGATATCACATGCTGAATTTCCGTTGTTGATGGTGGGTTGGTGTCGACGTTCCATTAAGGTCCACTGGGCTCTCCAAAAGCCAGTCGGAATAGAAGAGAGGTGTTTGGGGTTTTTCTTGTGCACAATGTTTCTCGAACTGACGTATATATTATCAGGCGAACTCTGCTTCATGATAGCTTTTGATTTTCCTATAAAACACTAGCTCAGCGCATCCCGTGTCCGGTAGGACTCTTCGAATAATTTATGGAAGCTGATAATAAGCAACTTCTCTCACAGTTTTTAGTAAATGTACGTAAAGCGAGCATGTAACGTGGAATGAAGGGCAAAGTAAAATGTCAGGAGGTACAGAATGTTTTGTCATTATCCCATCTAAATGTTGGTCAATGATAACGGAACCACATAGCACCGGTCGCGGAACCACTCGCTGTGCGAATGGTTCGGTCGGTACACTATGAAGAAGACGATGAATTTTCTCGTTTAGTAAACAATAAAAGCAGGTATTTGCATCATATGAGCTTCGGTCGTAAGGATCTCGGCTAATTCGGAACACTCCATAGAGGAAGTGGTTTGTGGTAAACGTGGCCCGAATAGCCTTAAAAATAAGATGGGAGGTTTTATAAACTCGCTCTGAAGCCCATGTGGAATTTTGTCTTAATTTCCAATGGAGACTTTACACCCCTGAGTAAATGCACTCTCAATGAGGGGATTTAACAGCAGGTGGTAGCCGACGAAGAACGATGTCATACACTCTGAATGCAATGAACCTCACTCCGAAAGCAACGCTCTGAGTAAAAGTGTACTACAATAGCCCTAGATTCTAACTCCACTTGCTCAGATTCTATCGCTCAAAGTAAACGTAAAAATACGGTTGTTAGAACTGGTATCCGGTGTCGAAATGCTTCGCACTTTATCTGTGCAGAAATGTCTGACTTTATGAACAGACTCTGTCTTCAAAATCAACGGGACATTAATGTTAAGTGGTTAGCCGTCCAAAACAGAATTAAGATATCACGTGCGAGGATGCACAGTCATAAAAGTTCGCTAAAGCTACTGGTCAGCCTTTCATTGTCTGATCTAACACAGGCTTTGATATATTATTCCGCTGAAATTGCAAATCACGTCAGTTTTTCCCTATTTCTTGACTGGAAGTCAACCATTTTGTTGCGCATCAAATCTCTTGTACATCCTCTCCATCTTTCAAACTCGCCCCTTACCCGAAATCACTGTTTTTTATTCTACTTCATAGAATCTTTGCGTACCCATAATCCCTCACGAACTTTTGACCCTTGACCTGGTAAACCATCTTTCGCAAACTTCTTGGCGCACGTTTTCAACCTCTTGCATTACCATGTGCTTTGAGAAAATATGTGTCACAAAATCATACAAATGTTCTGTCTTCTGACGGCATTTTAAATCAACCTTTAAGGCTTTCTTTGGACTTGTGTCGATCCGTGCAACAAGTTAGGCAGAAATTATAACAATTTGAGGTTTATATTTCCTGCATATACGTATTCTTGTACAAGCATTTCGTCGATAGATTTCAAAACTTCGCGAATTCGCGTGCCGATTAATTGAGTCTTCCGGAATACTTTAGGTACCCCAAAGTACTCATCCCTATTATCAGCGATAAATTTGTAATGGTATTCATATAAAACCCAACAGCAATCTGTTTCGGTGCAAACAGAAAGGAAGCATTGATATTAAGTGGCGGTAAGTCAACAGACAAAAGTTTAAGCACACTTGCGCCACCTACCTATGGGGATAGCAGCTAAACCGGCCGACGAAATGCATCATCGTGTCAGTATAAACTTTTGATGCCTCTATAATCTGCAGTATTACAAGTTTTAAGTGACAAACTCCTCAAACTTCAAATTACCTCGATCACCAGAATGTACCTCTTACGAAAATTATGAGTTGTATGATTTTGTAATAACTTATAAAGTTACAAAGTCAGGAGATATGAAGTAGTTCCAACGGTGATTTTTCTGTCCAACTTATAGTGAACTTAAATGGCGACTGTTTGATATTTTACCGGCTTCTTCTCATTGAAATGTTGCTCCTCGTAACTCCCTCTCGTTAAGAAGCACCCGGAATGCATAAATTGCTGGACGAGCTGGATTTAGCCGTTGGTTTTTCATTACAAGTTCCCATTTTTTCACTACTCAACCGTAACTTACTCCAACGGATCCACTCGACTCTGGCACAAAAGATCCTTGAACTAATTCTCGGCGGAATGGCAACATGACAGCTTCTGTATTTTTTTATGAATGCCATCATCCCTCCTCAAGTTCATTCGTTTGACGTGGCCTTTGATATGGATAATTATTTATGAATTAAGGTAATTATTTGTTAGCAGATTTTGATTTGTCCTCATGTTTCTGGTATCAAAATTTTGGTCGAGAAATCGATGTCATCTATATGTCAAAATATTCTCCAAAAAGTTCAGCTTGTTTCTCTTAAAATGGATTCAGCTGATGATTTAATAGATGGCTTGTGGTGAGCGGTGCTAAATTTCACAGCATCATTTTCCCTTGTGTTAGGGCAAGATGAACCGACCTGGTGCAAATCTACTTCACTGGATTCTCTAGGGGTACACTCATTTGCAAATCAATTTGGTCTTCACGAGAAGCTCAACTGAATCTCTCGTTTATGATATTGTACAACTGAATGTGCTGCACACAGGCCGCCTAGTGATTCAGTTGGCATGATATTCGAGATATCGCAGTATATTTTCATAAAGGAAACTACTCACCAGGTTGCCGAAAACTCTTTGAAAGCCCACGACCGGTTTCGCCCTTCTTGGGGCTCATCAGGCAGACACAGTCCCCTGATTTGCAAATGAGTGTATTTCTCGAAAATAGTCCAATTTGGGATCAAGTAGAACACAAGGTCGACGGAAACTCAGGGACTGCGCCTGCCTAATGAGCCCTAAGAAGGGCGAAACCAGTCGTGGACTGTCGAGGAGTTTTCAGCAACCTTGTGAGTAGCTTACTTCACTGGATGTTTTTCTCTGAACTGTGTTGTTTATAGCAACCTCTGGGACCGTTCTACCAAGAACCCAAAATCTTGCTGTTCAGTTGACTTTTCTCAGTTCTTCAGTTCATAAGTTCACTTCTGGTCCATTTTATACAGTTTCGATACTTAATTCGATTGATTGTTCGGTTTGTAAACCCAGGAAAACGCACTAAAGTGACCCTTGGAAAGAACTTCCTCAACCAAACTTCTTGTGAGTGGGATGATTCAGCTTGTCCAGGATCACTTTGAACGCGAGTTGGGAAAAGTATACATAATTGCGCCACAATGGGTGACGGGTATCCCAGTGAGCTGGTGAACACTCTACTTCCTTTTGGAATCTGTCATTGCGGATTCAAACAATGAGGCTGAGTGGTTGGGCAGAATGAGGCAATTTACTATAACATGAGGTGGGCTTAAAACTCCTATCACTGCAGCTCCTAGTAAGAAAGCTGAATCAAACTAGTAAATATACACTCATTTGCAAACTAATTTGGTTTTCTGAGAGACTCGCAAATGAGTGTATATTTGCTAATTTCGTGCAATTTGGTTTCAAGTAGAACATAAGGTTGACGGAAACACGGGGACTGAGCCTACCTGATGAGCCCCAAAAAGAGCGAAACCGGTCGTGGGCTGTCGACGGATTTTCAACAACCTTATGAGTAGTACATTACAAAGCTAATTAAGACTGGTTTTTTTGCAGCTGTAGCTGTTCACCATTACAGATGCTTTTGAAATCTTAACAGACATTTTTTTGTGAATTCTGTAGGTATCAACAAACCGGAACGTTATCCACGACACAGATCATTTCCCTCAGAATCCGCTTCCTGGAATCACGATTCAGTTCTTTCTGACGATGATCAATCGGAACATTACAGTACCCTTCATTCTGATGATTTTGTTTCGAACAGGAGCGGGAAACTTTATGTTACCGAAGAGAGCTCCCATCTGGCCACGGTTAAGTCACCAGACATGAAAAGGCCCCGACGTGGAACAATGACGGATGATGTGGTTCATGCAGAAACTACCTTGAACTCCAAAAGACACCGAAACGAAGAGGCCAAGACATTTTTATGTAAAAAGAGGGAACCGGACAAAGGATTTTCCCACACATCCTCTGATACGGCTTCATATAATGAAGAACTCGGTGACAAAAAAAATCCAGTGCAATATCACCCATACTTTCAATCCAATGAGAGACAGTTTATTGCGGACCAGCATGAGGATAGAAGTGAAACAGAGAGCCAAAGCAATGAAAGTTTGGGAGACAGTGATCCCGAAAATACAGATAACAAATTTAACACCGGCCAGAGCCAAAATGCGAAACCTCGACGAGCCAGAACCGCATTTACCTACGAACAGCTTGTAACCCTAGAGAACAAGTTCAAAACAACACGATATTTGTCCGTTTGCGAGAGACTGAACCTGGCTTTGGCCTTGAACCTGACTGAAACCCAGGTAAAAATTTGGTTCCAGAACCGAAGAACCAAATGGAAGAAACAGAATCCGGGAAAAGACGTAAATGTGCCCAGTTTGAATACATTTTCCTCAAAACTGTTCATCCCGCCAATGTCTTATCTGCCTAGACAATCATCCCCATCTCCTCTGGGCCTAGGTTCACACATTTTCCATCGTCCAGGCTATTATTATTCCGATTACGGCGATGGACAACGGAAGGAGACGGGTCCCTACACTGGCTCTCCAGCAATGCTTTCAAGTCCATTTCGAACACCTGATAGGTTTTCAACAACTGGTAGACAGCCGCATACTGATAAGGACTCCAAACTTTTGGGCAAATATCCCACTGGCGACAGTAACTGCCCTGCGTTTTTGGAAAATTATCTAAAACTGTACATGAATTCAGTCAACAATGGTCTGACCCCTGCAGTTTCAACGGAACCCTCCGCGCTAGATTTACAAGGCACACAGCAGAATAAATGGAATGCCTTCAAACCCGATCCATTTGTTTTTCTTGCGCAACACAGTGAGCAATATTCAGACGATCAGATAAAACCGAATGGAGTGGAAACCAATGCAACCGAATCCAATGGATACGATTCGTGGAAAGCTGGTGTTGAAAATGTATGTTCGAAGCAGAAGATCAAAGGTCTGGCTGCCAATTCGACTCCACAACGTTGGGGACCTTTAGAAAATCTATTCAGCTCCACTTTAGCTCCAACTGAGGAGCTTCAAAACCTAATGGCATTCAGCAAATCGAGTATCATTCAAGAGCAGTCACACATTACTACCGAAGCGGATCCGATTCGTAACAATCACTCAGTCATGTTCGGATCGCTGGAGCAAATGGCCTTTCTCAAAAGTCTATCAGGCATTGGAATGGATACAATGGAATCGCGAGTGAAGCCACATGACCCTAGCAAACTACATCTAATGTCCGAACCCGCGAACATGCTTTGGAATGCAGCTGCAATAGCGGCTGCCACCGCCATGGCTAATGTGACCAATGGGACATCCTATCCACACCAAAGTTTGCCATCAACACTGACCTTAAGGACACAAAAGCAGTCGGAGTCGGAACCAGACGAGTGTTTTCCTGCATCTGAATCCGTGGGCAACAGTAATCAGAACGGACAAATTCATTCAACATCACACATAAATTCTTCCTCATATGTTTCCAAACATGTCACTTACCCACCGTCCAGCTCGCCAGCAAAAGCACGACGTGCGTCTTCAGAAACCACTTCATCCACCACGTCACCACAAACCATGCAATTATCTCAAGCTGGTCAGCAGACACCCCCAGATGATTGATAATACTCCAGGCCTTTCACACAAATGTCTTTTTACCGATTCACTTCCATCACACCGTTGTGTTTCCCTCATGCCAAAATGCCCTAGTTCCTTTGAAGAAAAAAACTGCAAACAGCGCTAAAAATTGAGTTGGAAACATTTTCCGCCTGACTCAAACTGGTGTTGTGTCGCGTTAACGGTGTTTAATCTGCGCTATCTTGCTTTGTATATATCAAACACAGAAATTCCAAAACAGATTTTCCATTCTTCGGAAAACTCCAATATTGTTTCCAAGTACTTTCAAGTGAGGCTCATCGGTCATGGGGCATCAGAGCCGTAGCACCAAAAACTGGGTGCATAGCGTACGGAATGAAATAAAACACCAATAGATAGATGCAGCCCAACCTAGGATGAAATATTTGATGAAGCGAGTGGTACGACAAAGGTCCTAATATCTAGGATGGAGTAAATAGGTGTAAACAGGAACTCGTGACGAAAGAAATGTATCGATTCATGAGGATATTGCTATGTACAGACAGGTGAAACGAGATATGAGGGTATCCTGCAATAAACAGAAATGGAAATTTTTACCGTCTTTTCTTCACAAGCGTAAGACACCGTCTTAGTAGTTTATTGCATTTCTAGCCCCTACAAGCCATCGTGTTCGTTCGTTTTCTCCGGAAGCGAACCGTATCCCATCCGATCACGACTGAATGAAGGTTTAACCAAGCAGTTTGGACCACATCGGTATCATTTTTTTGGAAACAGACTATCATGGGAACTCGGTTAACTACCTCGAGAAAAAGTTGAGAAAAGCGGTCAGGTAATGTTCTTTAGGACGCCAACGAGTCTCGTACTCAACGGCATCGCACTTGCATTGGTGTCGGCTGCTAGCTAACACACCTACACTAGCTGCAGGTATCAGCTTCAAACAGAAGATCGCCTTAGATAACTCACTGCTGGAACTCCAATAGTAAACCAAGTTGTTCAACTTTATTTTCACTTCGGTACACTACTATTACGCAACTGAGCATCCGAACTAATGCTAGGCTGTACAATATTAGACCAAAGCAGTTGAAAAATGTCTCTGGTAACGAGTCTGGTAGGTCGACGCATTCATGTTTCCATGCTTATGAAGGGCCAGTTAAAATGTCGGAGTTCGATTCGAACCATGGACCTTAGGCCAACTGAATTTCCACTGAAATAAGTTGCTTAGGATCTCACTAGACCCCTTGTTCGGAAACGTAGATAGCAAGGACAAAATAACCGGAATCGTTGAAAACAAGTACACGTGCGTGTCCCATGAAATGCTATATTCACTTATCTGCGACTATTCGTTAAGGACTTCACTACATTTCCTGTCAGGTCAGTAGCATAACCTGAGTGAAGCAAAAAGAGCTAAATTTCGAGCCCTAAACTCACTAGACACACTATAATTTACATTCACTTATCAGCTAGCTTTCTAAAGTAGTCTTTTTCTTGCACGGAATGCCTTGGTAAATTGATTTCTTGAGACCTTAACCAAATTGCCGGTCTTACTTATCCACCATACTCTCAGCTGAGGGTTCAGGTAACCAACTTGCGAAAACTCATCTTTCTGTATGCAACATGGTGCACCTTTGTGACTAAATTTGTTGCATAAAATAACTCAAAGATTTTCAAGGTTACCAGAACAAGTTATCTTCATTAGGCATTGCGGTTCACAGTTTTTGACCGCACATCACTTCCACTAAGCTCAGAAAAAACACTAAATGGTGTTAGAGAAGGTGAGGGTAGAGAAGTAAAATAGGAGATAACTATGGAATGCTTCCAGTAAACACTGTTACTTATGAATTTCGCAAGTTTTTCCAAATAGTTAGTTCTTGTACGCCCTCTACGCAACTTCTCCCCTATCCCGTCTGGTTAAGAGTTCACCTGATACCTGAGTAAACAGATGCATATTGTGTAACTGGTTCCCTGGGCGCAGGTATATAGCTGTTGCTGACGGGGTGATGGATTAGGTTGTCGACAAACAGTTAATGTCCATGAGCAACCAGCATTGTGATACTTTTCCAGACGCACTTTTTTCATCGGTGCCTGCTCCCAGTAAGGTTACATATACTCGTACCTTGTCAGATATGTTGATCTAGACGGCCTCCACAAAGCTGCATAAAGCAACCAACGGTTATCGAGAAATACACTAATTTGCAAGTCTATTTGGTTTTTACGAGAGACTCAACTGAATCTCTCCTTTATGCTATTCTACAAATGAATGTGCTGCACACAGGCCACCTCATGATTCAGTTGGCACGATATTCGAGATATCGCAGTATGTTTTCATGATGGAAACTACCCACAAGTTTGCTGTCGAAGAGTTTTCAGCAACCTTGTGAGTAGCTTTCTTCAATCAACGGTTACTTTATAACCGTAAAAACCAAATGTGGGAAGTATGCCGGTTTAGCAACCCTTGAGAATCGGGTTACTACGGATGCATTTGAGCCAAATATTATCAGCGCAAGCATTTCGGTCTCAATTCATCTCTTGCTATGATCAGTCAGACAATAACACATGAAACCTGCTGTTTTCACCGCGAACCTCCTTGTCACAAGCACTACAGTTTTCGAAATGACAGTCGCAAGTTATGCGATAAATGGAAGATATGAACATTTCCAGATATATCCGTAGCTCTCTGTTACGCGGTAGTTCCAGTTGCCAGAAAAACCTCTAAAACAAGTGATACGGTGCAGTTTTTATGACAGTTTTTATTGTTTTTGTGCGTACCCCGACTCGAGGGCAGGGAATATCTGCCTATCACCAACGCATGAATGCGAGCTTGAAGATTTTAGGAAAGCATAGCACTCTAAAGTTTTTGACTTAGCGAAAGCATTCAGTGCATCTGACTGCATGGTGGTTCACTCAGGTTAATCGAGGAACTTCCACGAGCAATTAGAGAAGACTCAGATGACATGGGCGGGATGAAACAATAGTGACGAGTGCCTTCCAAAGCAATAAGTGACCGCCTGAAAACCCTGAACTTTTAGCTAACTTAAAATAAAAATTGCGATTTTCCAATGTGAGATAGTATCGTCTGAATTACTTCTAGGTTTTCACTGATTGTTCTCTCAGGATGGACCATTTTTGGGTCCTTGAAGGTGATCTATAAAGAGGAGTGGGAGGTATCTTCAGTTCTGTAACAAATGGATGATGTTCAGTGGACTTTTAAACGGGTAAAACTGTTACTTTGTCAGTTTTATACTGTTAAATCCGATAAGGATATCATCCATCGGTCGCTCATCAATATAAGGGCAGTAGTCAGACACCCTGTAGGAAGCGTCAAGTGTCGCTTTTCAGCTATGATCCCCTAAACTGTTTGGACAACATCACTATGGAACAAAATTTCATATGACTTTGGCTTATCTATGGGAGAATCCTCAGTGCAGAGTACTGGAGAATGACTGGAGGAGTTTCCTCTGTTCCTTGTGAGCTTGACGCCTGAATTAGCAGTCGGCAAAAGAGACATTTTCTGCAACCGCACTACGATTTTTCATCTACATATGTTGCATATATTTCGATGGCAGTTGCTTGCAATACATCAGGAAAAGACTCAAATGACGCGTGCAACTATCCGGGAACAAGAATTTGTAAAATGCACTGGTGGCAATCGGCCTTAGTCTCAGTGACCACTGCTCCCAGTGGATTTGTGTCATGTCACTGCGTTCACACAGTGGTGTGCAAACGAACACGAGGATTGTGAGGTAAAAAAAAACTCCACCTACCAAAGTACACATAAGCAGAACTACCTCAAAATCGGTACTTAAATCTACTGCGAGTGCCACTTACGGAATACATGAATCATATGCAGTTTGGACTAAGTCAGTCAGAGCAAAGGAGTCCGTTCTGAAGGTTCCAAAGGTGTCGTTCTGCACTTAAACGTGTGCTTAGATATCTTATTCCATCGTGCCCTCCCCAATGCGGTGGTAGTAGGAAGCAACTTGGGACTGTTGAAGGAAGGAACCACAGTTGTCTCCTAATCTCCACTTTTTGTTTAAAGAGCTGGGACTGGTACGAGATGATATTGACTAAAGTAACAAACAAACAGGTGGATAAAACCGGCACAGTTGAGGTTAAATAAATCTCTTAAGTTTGCCTCGCTTTAATTGACATCTGCTAAACAAAATGAGTCGTCTAATGGAGCTAACTTTGCGATCTCTTGTTAGAGGCACACCCGAAAACACAAATAGAATGCCGTTAGTCTGAAGAGACAGTAAATGTGTTGATGTGCTTTCCTCTTATTATCAGTCTACCCAGATTTGTGGGAACTTTCCCTGGCATCTGGGGAAAATATTAGAAGAAACCGCTCCCAATACAGACGATTTCCGAGCTCTTCATTCCTTCCTTGATTAGTTAGAGCACATCGGTGCCTTGTAGAGTAAGGGCTTCTGTGATACAAGCATACATCAGTCCAGTTTGTGTTGTAGAATTCGGAGGAATGGAGAACATGGTGATACGGATCTTTCACCCCAGATTACAGAAGCACCCATATGTAGTCAACAACAGGAGCTCTTTTGTTTGATCCTTCGTCATGCTTACGAGCGCGCCGATCCATATAGACTTTTCAGGCATGGGACTTTGTGGGGCATCTATATCGACACGTAGTTATTAACTGGATTCACTAAACCATAAGTAAGCATCTCCCTGCCCGGCATACGACCTATCTCAGGAGTCGATCTTTTACAAAATCATCATTGTCAGAGAATGACCTGTGGAGGCCTGTGACTATTTTAGATGAAGGGAATAATTGTGGATAAATCTTGCCCTTTGCTACGCTCATGCAGGTTAGACATTGCACAAACACGAACACTTCTGTTACGCTACTTGCTATTGGACGAGTCAGTTCTCCCCCTGTCCAATGGAAGGAACTTTATTTCCGTTAACAGGAGTGCACCGCTTGAAAACTTTCTTCAGCCAGAGGAGTCGCGAGTTAGCAGACCACACTCACCTTTAGTCAATATCCTTCAGTCACATGCGCTGCACAAAGTTTG